AATCATACATGTTCATGTTTGTACAGTCTGGATAAACAAAAAAGACTTTTTGACCTTTCTTGATCGGTCAAGCATTGGTTTTCTGTTGGTAATTCTCTTCTAATCATCAATTAATTATGGACATGTGAGACAAATAGTCTATAGTCTATATAGTGTGTATGCAATGTTAAAAAATAATGAAATGAATGGAGTTTTATGTCTTACTTTTTCTACATTGTATACAATGTATAGATAGGCTATACATGGAAAGTCATGATATTAGTCTATATCTGTCTAACACAATGAAAGTTTTCAGGAGAAATGGACATTATTTAAACATTAAGACACAATCTGTTTTATTGCCTGATTTATGAATACACCTCATTCGGGAAGTAAAATACTCTTTAGGCCTAATAACATTGACGTAAGCCATATGCCAGGAGTCTCTCGTGTGCATTCGTCTATGGAAATTGCTAATCTGGTGAACATGGTATGTTTGTGGTAGACAACTGAGAACTTGGTATGTTTGTGGTAGACAACTGAGAACTTGGTATGTTTGTGGTAGACAGCTGAGAACTTGGTATGTTTGTGGTAGACAACTGAGAACTTGGTATGTTTGTGGTAGACAACTGAGAACTTGGTATGTTTGTGGTAGACAACTGAGAACTTGGTATGAGTGTGTTAGGCAAATGAGAACTTGGAATGCTTGTTGTAGACAACTGAGATGTCGGTATGTTTGTGGTAGACAACTGAGAACTCGGTATGTTTGTGGTAGACAGCTGAGAACTTAATATGTTTGTGGTAGACAACTGAGAACTTGGTATGTTTGTGGTAGACAACTGAGAACTTGGTATGTTTGTGGTAGACAACTGAGAACTTGATATGTTTGTGGTAGATAGCTGAGAACTTGGTATGTGTGTGGTAGGCAAATGAGAACTTGGAATGCTTGTTGTAGACAACTGAGATGTCGGTATGTTTGTGGTAGACAACTGAGAACTTGGTATGTTTATTGTAAAAAACTGAGAACTTGGAATGTTTGTTGTAGACAACTGAGATGTCGGTATGTTTGTGGTAGACAACTGAGAACTCGGTATGTTTGTGGTAGACAACTGAGAACTTGGTATGTTTGTTGTAGAAAACTGAGAACTTGGTATGATTGTTGTAGACAACTGAGAACTTGGTATGTTTGTCGTAGTCAACTGAGAACTTGGTATGTTTGTCGTAGAAAATTGAGAACGTGGTATGTTTCTGGTAGAAGACTGAGAACTTGGTATGTTTGTGGTAGACAAATGAGAGCTTGGTATGTTTGTGGTAGAAACTGAGAACTTGGTATGTTTGTGGTAGACAGCTGAGAACTTGGTTGTTTGTGATAGACAACTGAGAACCTGGTATGTTTGTGGTAAAAAAAACTGAGAATTTGGTATGTTTGTGGTAGACAAATGAAAACTTAGTATGTTTGTGGTAGATAATTGAGAATTTGGTATGTTCGTGGTAAACAACTGAGAATTTGTCATGTTTGTGGAAGACAGCTGAGAACTTGGTATATTTGTGGTAGACAAATGAGAACCTGGTATGTTTGTGGTAGAAAACTGAGAACTTGGTATGTTTCTGGTAGACAAATGAGAACTTGGTATGTTTCTGGTAGACAAATGGAAACTTGGTATGTTTCTGGTAGACAAATGGAAACTTGGTATGTTTGTGGATGACAAGTGAGAACTTGGTATGTTTGTGGTAGACAAATGAGAACTTGGTATTTTCGTATTTCAAACAACCGAGAACTTGGTATGTTCTTGGTAGATACAACTGTTGGTTGTTTTAAATACTCTATAGTCACTGTTTAGATTTAGTTAAAATGAATCGTCGTCGAATATGCCTTAATATATTAGCATGCGTACAACTAACTTAGAGATCGATCAAAAAAATACAGTTTTGCGCTCAAGGAAGTAACTAACAAGCAATTGGAAGGGGTAGTTCGAGTTAGGGTTTAGTTAGGGTGAGATGTTTGTTGGAGACATTGTTGTTTGAATCTATTTGAATTTTCGGTTTGTGTTAGGACGATCCATTTGTTTTGCCTCATCTGATGATACAGATAGAAACGGGAAGTAAACAAATTCAATCTATGTTTATAGAAGTTCTTGTTACTAAAAATGTTGTTCCTTTTGGATTTTCAAAAACAGAAATACAGACTTGGATTTAACATTGATTTTAGTGTTATTCGATAATGAGATTAACAAATAAGTTACATATCTCAAAGAATGTCAAAAGGCATTAGAAAGATTGGGGGATTCCAAGAAAGTTGTAGAGGTTCGAAGGAAATGAAGTGATATTTATTAAATGGATTAACAATGAGAATTTTTTTACTCATCATAAAACTTTCTTTACTTTTGTGGAAAAAATCAACAAGAATTGCGAATTACAACATTAATTAGTTTAAATATTAATAGCTTTTAGCTTAGTACAGGAATGATAGAAGTTTTAAAATGAGACTTTTTGTGGTAACGATATATCTTTCATGTTTTATTGTGTCGAATGCAAATGGAGGTAAATATTTTTCACTCATTTGATAATTTTACTCCTTATAATAATATATGAAATTAATAAGGTCTTGGCCAAAATTTTAAAAAATCTGCTCTCAATATATTATCGTAGTTCTATATTCTGGGGTGATGTAGCTCTTGTCGATATGTACTGACACTTACGATAAAACCAGTAACTCTGGATCAGAAGTTTATTCAAACGAACACGAAGACATTCAGGTGAACCGAATAACCAGATTTCCACGAACACAGAGAGAGTTGGTATTTCCAAACTTTCTTTACAATACAAGTACATTCAATATATAGTCAAAACAATATAAATTTGAAAATAATTGGGTGTTGATTAAATCTTATAGTGACGGAAGTCCGACAGGGTACAATGTGTTCACATGTTGCTGTCATTATTGAAATAATGAAATATTAAACGTGTTGCGGTCATTGACCATGTTTGTGTACGTGTCATAGGTAAAAGTCGCTATTATAGATACTATGGTTTGGGGGCATACAGTTAAATCAAAGGTATTTATAGTCTTGGCTATTTACACCGGTATAATATTTATTGTTTTATTTATTCTAGGTTCGGAATCCAACACATATTGTTACGAATCACCAAAGCTAAACTGTACCGAGCACATACTTAATTGTGGGGAAAATGTCATAACAATGGAGACCAGTTTCTATTTCAGTTTTCTAAAGAATAGAAACTATCCAGAATGTCAACCCAAGAACGATGGGTGTAAAAATTCTACAACTTGTTGTAAATATATCAGTGAAGATGTAACTATACTCGGAATCACTCTTTTATCTTCAAATAACACTCCACTCATAAACTTCATAAAAACTGAATGTTCTTCTAAATCAAGCTGTATAGTCAGTCAGTATTACAATAATAGTGGTGGTTCTGATCTTTATGATTATGTAACGTATAATTATGGTTGTGTTCCTAGAGGTATGTTTATAACTTTATAACTGCAGTACCTACAATATAAGATAGCTTACCAGGCAAGATAACATACGAACACTGGCAGCTGTCAGAAATGATGCAAGAGTCTTAATTAAATGACAATTTTGCCGTTTCAAAGAACTTCAAAGTGCATGTGTTATTATGTGTACTTATTTATTATTTTATCTAATTATCATCAAACGCGAACAAAAAAAAAAATCTCATCAACGTACACTTTTTCTTCTTTAAAGTTGGATAAACACTGGCGTCTCAATGCTATTACAGATCAAATTTGATACTCTTTAAATAAGTCAAAGGCAATTCCTATATTTAAAAAAAATAACATCAGTTCAGTTATAACCTGTAGTCTCTATCGTGTTTATAAACCAAAGATGAGGGCAATAAGGGCAATAAGTAAAATAACCAATTTCGAACTTGACTGAGATCTCATCAATTTACATGCATATCAGGTTTAATCAAGATCGATTAAAACTTGAAAAAACCTGTATTGCATCTGCAAGCTAAATTTTACCCATTTTAACTAAGTCAAGGGCAATAACTCCAAAACAGTTCATCCGATTGTTATCAAATTCGAATGTGATCTAGATCTCATTACTGTTTACACGCATATTAAGTTTCATCAGGAATGGACAAAAACAGTAGCCTCTATCGTGTCTACGAGTCACCTTTGATGCCTGTTTACGTGAAGGGCATTAACCGTTTATCCGTTTATTACCAAAATCGAACTTTGCCAAGAACAAAGTTTCATCAAGATCAGATAACAACTGTCTACAAAAATGGACGGACGGACAAGAGCGATGATATACGTCCACAATTCCATGAGGGCGTAGAAAAGACTAACAAAGTGTTTTCAGATTGATTGAAAACCTCAAACTAATGACGCAAACGTGTTGTCGGTTGTTAGTCTTTCCCTGTGAATTGTAGCAGGCTATAGATATATCAAATTATTTTGTTCGCTTTAAAAGCACAATGTCATCAGAGTGTTTTACTAAAGCTACGATGTTTGCTTTACGGTCAATACTATTCTTTTCACTATCTTTATTTCATATTTTATTTCAGATGATTCAACAGTGGACTTTATGGTAAATGGATCAACACAATTTACTGGTAACAGATTTCCAACTCTATATTATCTGGACTATACTGGAAATAGAACGAAAGGTGATAATGACGTAATACTCAACAGAGAATGTATTGTGACAACAACGGAGAATGATTTAACTTTAACGATTAAGAAGTTGAATCTTCAGGCTGATGACTGTTGTCGATTTCACATTTCTGTATACAACGTTTCAGATTATTGCTCACAGAATGGTTCGTTTATTCCACACAAGGGAAAATCAATCGCCAAAAACACAGCATCTATTAAACTTCAGAACGTCACAAATAAAGATGGTGGTTATTTCTCAATCTTAATAAGAGCTGCAGGTAAGATTCATTCATCTTTTATAGTTAATATGATTGAATGACTACAACCATAAGCTGCCTTCACACTGAAAGCGATATCGATTTCCAGAAAGCATTCCCTGGAATAGCGCATTCAATTTGGTACCGTCACACTACACTCTAAAGCGATTCGATGCAGTACAAAATGAGTCACACTGACAGCGCTATATTCCGGTATAAACCATTGCACCCTCAACAACCTATCCCTTAAACTACTCCAGAGGGTGAAGGTCATTTATCTCCCCCACCAATTTCATATTCAAACCATTGAGATCTTAAATGCCTGATGCTAATACACCAACCTATCTTCGACAATTATGTGGCCCCTCCCTCTAATGTTGTATAGAAACGCCACTGATACCGTATAGAACGGAAACGAATACGTTGCGTTTATAATATAACCCGTTAAATCGGTTGAAATCGGTTTGAGAAGGGGGTTTGTTGGAGCAATTTGAGATCGGTTCAAAGCGGTTTCGGTGTGACGCATTGATGCGCTCTTGGGTTTTAAAGCGCATTTAACCCGCTTTTAAAGGCTAGTGTGAACACGTGTTGTCAACCTCAAAAACACTAGTTCTTTTTACAACGAGAAATGCATATTTCCAACAAAAAATGTAATTTTGAATCTTTGGGGGTTAGGGGCAAACGGAATATAAATGCTTACATTTCTGTAACATTTTATCATTATACAGGTAATGTGACTATAGACTGTAGAACAATTGAACACCTCAATAAACAAGGTAGGTACGTCATTTTCTTCTATTGACTCTTAACCGTGGTGTGAAGTTCTAGAGCCTTCGGCTGCGCAACTTACTGGACTAATAANATGAATAAATAAATGCAACTTTAAATCTTATAACGTAGCATATCATTGTGCTAAATGTAATGAATCTATACTGTTCAGCATCCCATTGACCCCTGATGATACAAAGGGGGATTTTACGATGGACAGCTACACA